AATATAAGATTTTTGAGGATAGGTGTGATAGTGACTATAGATAGATTGTGACTATATAGGATAGATTTTAATAATAAAGTGTTTTGAACATTCAACTGGTGTGATTATATAGTAGAATGTGACTATAACGGGAGTGACTATAGAGGAAGTTGACTGTAGTTGCTATATATATTAGTTTATTATAAAGATTCATAATTTATATTTGAAACATGCAATACAATTATATAAAATTAATTTGCATTATTTACAATATATACTAATAAATAATAAAAATTTTAGTTAATTTCCTCCTGATGCGTAAAATCACCATTACTCTGATCATTGCCTTTATTATTTTTATTTGCTGAGTCACCATCTGTTTCGTCTTCACTACTTTCGTTACTAGTAACTTTATGGTAATTCCCAAGTTCTTCAATTATAATAGATTTGGTAGTATTTACTGAGATTTCTTTAGAAGTAGAAAGATAATCCTACAATATTATTTAATATAAAATATATTGTACACCAAATAATGGCATTATAATCATTACATACCAAATAAACTTCATATCGTTTTCACAAAAAATTATCACTAATCGATATTTTTGGATGATTTGGATTTAATACAACTTCACATACAGCTAAAGTAAAAGCAGTATCTTTTCAGAAGTCTTTTTTTTGCCCCATGCTCTATTATTTATCGCTTGAATATATAAAAGAGAACCATCATCATCAGCTTCAAATAAGCATTGAAATGCTCTTTTAGTTTTACGTAATTTTTTAAATTCATGAATAGCTTCAGCTGAAGCAGTTGTATTTATTTGAATCAACCAGTCATTACCAAAGATATCAAACATTGCAGTATGAACATCTTTGGCTTTATCATAACGGCGACTTTTAATAATTTCATTGCACTAAAATAAAGATAATTAGAATTCATAATTTAATATTAATGTAATAACATGTAAATAAATAAAACTTACTAGTGATTCAATTCGTCCTGAATAGATATGCATCCATTGGGGTCTATGTTTCTCAATATAACCAGGTTTATCCTGTTTGAGTATATCTTCAAAACTCTTTTGAAATGCAGCTTAATCCAGATAAATACTAAGAATAGGTAATTGGAACTTGCATGTTTTTGATGCTAAATTCTAAAAAATATTAAAATGTGTATTAATTTAGCGAAAAAATAAATAAAATAACAAATTATATATACCTTTCAATAAGAATTTTCAGGAATCATTAATTGATCAACTTTTTCTGAAATTCCACTTAATTGCTCTTTAATTTCTTTATAAAACACGGTTTGCTTATTTTTGATATCATACACTGTTTGAAATAATTCCTTATTTTGATTCAAGCAAGTTTTTAAACCTTCTAGAAGATGGTAATCTGTTATAAAAAAATCAAATCATATGGGCCAATCCTTGGAATCTAATTTTTTTACACAAAAATAATTTATTAAAGCAAATATAAATTATCATTCATATAAGAATAATAAATTTATACCAGATAATGCAAAAAAAACTAATTAATTATATAATTTTTAATTTTTTTTTAATATAAGATATCATTAAAATTTAAAAGATCAAATATAACTCTCATGACAAAATCATTGATAATTCTTCGTAGAAATAAGCTATACAAATAAATTTACATTTATTTGAAAGAGAAAATCGAGATCTATCTAATGAATCTAAAATCAAGTGAATTGAATCACTAGTTGTTCAGTAATCACATTCAGTATATTATTGAATTTTATCTAAATTTGATCATTAATTACTTCACATATAGTAAT